TTGTCCATTGTTAGATGCTAGTTTAATAATGCTATGGCATATGTAGAAATGTATGTAAGCCAAGATTTTAAAAAAGAGCTTTAAAAGTATTATGTATAGGCTAACATTTTGTCACACCACGGGTGTAGCCATCATTTCAGAAGTGACAGAAATGTCAAATACAATAATTTTATGTAGGCCTATGAATGTATTATTTTATATATGAATGTTCATATTTTTTCCTAATGGTAATTTTATGATTGTTTTATATAGGCATACCAGTTCACTACGTAGCCATCATTTCAGAAGTGACAGAAATGTCAAATACAATAATTTTATGTAGGCCTATGTATGTATTATTTTATTTTATTTTATTCTTTTCTTATCTCTTACTTTGAATTTGCTATAAGAAATCAAATACACTGCTGGACAATAATCAATCATTTGTAATCTATATTTTTGGTATATGGCAATTTTGAATTTATGAATTTCAATTTTCTGCACAGAATAAGGTAGAAAATATACTTTATAGTAACTGTACTGTAATGATGTCAATTAGCACTGCATCATTCATAAATGTTATTTATTTATTTTGTTTATTGTCTTAACGTTTCAGTTCATTCTGCTTTTTATTCAGTTTAGCTGCAGATATAGCCTGGCACGTCTTAAGTTCTATGAGTGCGAGATCACTTCTCTTTCAGTGCGAAAACTTCTTTATCTCATTTTCATAAAATAAAATGCTATAGTATTTAACTTTTCCTCTCCATCGGCGAATGATGATTCTGAAAGAAAACGCGCCCGATGTCTGTTTGCTATAGCAACGAACGCTACTTTCATGCATCTGATTATCAGATAAACCTCGCACTCTTATTTCAAGGTTGTTGTTAATACAAGCTTTTATGGTTGCGGTTGCCAGATTTTAAGAGTGTAAATACCCCAATCAGTCCCTTTTTCTTGCCCAGTGGTTTACTTGATCTTCCCAACCTGGCAACCATGCGCATGTGCTGTCTCTATGTTATGGAAAAAGTTGGAGTTTAGCAACAGCATTCTGTGGTGGAAAAAGTGGTTGTGGAAATGACATTTTAAACGTTTTCAAAATAAAATGGCAGACTCCTAAGGCTAATTCCAAAGATTGAACTTTATGTATCCTACTTTTAATAAAACTTTGTTGCGGTGGAAATAATGTACAGTTGAGGGATTTCCACACAACAAACAATAACTATTGAAATAGTTTTTCACTCTTTAATTTATACTTCATGTTAAATAGGAAAAATAAATGTTGAAAGCATAGCAAGACAAGTTTTAATGTGATTAACACAGACACACACACATGTATATACAGTGGGTTTGAAGGGGGTCTGAATACTTTCCGTACCCACTGTATACATATACAAATAAATTATTTTTTTGATTGAGGATTTTGGTTGAATTTTTAATGTTTTTGCAAGAAGTCTCTTATGTAACCTAGGCTACTTTGATTTTAAATAAAACCGTAATATTGTGAAATAGTCTCATAATTTAAAGTAACGGTTTTCCATATATATATATATATATTTATTTTTTTTTTTTTTAAATGTAACTTATTCCTGTGATGTAAAGCTGAGTTTTCAGCATCATTACTCCAGTCTTCAGTGTCACATGATACTACAGAAATCATTTGAATATGCTGATTTGCTGCTCAGGAAACATTTATTTTGTATTATTCTTTTTTATTATCAGTGTTAAAACAGTTGTGCCACTTAGTGTTTTTTGTGGAAACCATGGTTCATTTTTTCAGGATTTTTGATTGAAAGTTCAAAGGAACAGCTTTTATTTGAAACAGCAATCTTTTGTAACATTATAAATGTCTTTATTGTCACTTTTGATCAATGGTGTTGATTGCTTAAAAGTATTTCTTTAAAAAAAAAAAAGCCCATTATTTTGAACTGTAGTGTAAGCAAAGCCTCAACATTAAGAAAATTATATACCATGAGTACAATATTTCACATTTGTGAGTGTATGTTGGTGTTTTTGTGAACACAATCAAACTACTGTGCTGGGCAGCAGCACCTGCTTTGCTCATCTTTCTGTGAAATCAGCAGCTTTACTGTATCCATCGAGGCAGGAACAGTAATTTCCCACAGACGGGCACTGATGGTTTGTAAATCAGCAGAGTAAGATGGTAGGATCTGGGAAGGGCTGTTAAAAAGACATTGACCTTGCTGAGATTTTCATTGTCAGCCTTAATAATCTCGTTGGACCGTTGGAAAAACGTCATCCCCTCCACAAACTCCCAGCCACTTACTCACTGTCAGTAGTGATCAGCCTGCAGGAGACAGCCATGATTAGACCTTGTTTGTAATCGACCCTCTCACAGTTGGCATAGCCTCTTCAGGACACTTGTGTCCCGGGAAATGCTTACACACAAACACCTTATATTGGCACAATCGATCATTATTGTAGCTTAACATATGATTATGTTGTTGTTTAAAGTGTTAAACAACTTTGTCTTTTCACACTCTCAGGAGCCGGAGGGGACGTATTTGGAGAAGGCAGATGAGCTCTACTCTCTGATGTGTGCTGTCACAGACAAGGTAAGCAGGGAAGTTCACCGCTGCTGTCGGGATTCAATTACTGTGAGCTGAAGTTTAGCAAGGCTTTCAAGGCGGAGATGGTTTGTAGCCTGCTGGCTTTGATTTTTCTGATGATCAGCGCGAAGAGAGCGGAGAAGGAGCACTTGTCACGACTCACGAGTAGTGTGGACTAGTGCTCAGCCAGGCAGAGTAATCAACACATAATTGTCATTTTTAGATGGCTAATAACTGTTAGCTAATAAGATGGCTTTATGAATTGTGATAAAATGTTTAAATTAAATATTCAGCAAATTACTGTTTGTTAATTTGGTATAATAAGGGATGCACCCATACTGAATTCTGAATTTCGATACCAATAGCCAATTATTCAGAATACTGATAGTTGGGTTTTCTTAAAGGGGACATCAGATGCCCATTTTCCTCCACCCCTCTCCAATATATCCATATATGGTTCAGAGGTGGTCTTATTCAAATAGCTAGCTATCTATGTACAAACCGGCTACAATTTCATACAGCTCGCTGGATGACACAGTTTCAGACTCAGACAGCAAATAACAAACTGGCTGCATGTTTTCTTTATATTATATTATTTTATAATATACTTTAATATAAAAGTGAAAATTAAATCAAATAAAAACTGAAATGTTTGCAAACAACTCAGTTGCACATAAGGTAGTGTTAAAAACTTGCCTTCATGTCAGATTAGTTGAAATGTACATACAGTATATTAACAGTAAATAAGCTTTTACTGAGAACACTGAGAACACTGAATAACTTCCTGAGGTAAATGCAATGTTAAGTGACATTGATCACATGCTGGTTTATTGACGTCTTTCCGTGGTTGAAATACATACATTACCGTCTGATGTTGATTCATGTTTATTTTGGTGCTGTAACTAGTAGTAAAGTGGAAAGGACTCGTGCTTCTAAAGCGCTACAGCGATCTGTCACACCACATTTATGAGCGTTAAAACAGCATGTATTGTTTGAATTTTGTGATAAAGTTGACAGAATTAGAGCATTAAGACTTTGTCTCTTGTAATAAAGCACAAAGCTCTTTGCAATTACTGGACAGGAGGTGCACTAGAAATAATGTTTGGTGAAGGGAAAAACCATGGACCTGGCAACCCTGGCTTGAACCCCTTTCCAATAGAACTGCACGTTTTATTTAAGGAGATTGCGTTAATGTGTTTTTATTGCATTAACTTCAATAGCCCTAAATTCAGCTGTTTTTAAACAATAGTGCAGATAATTACTTTTATTGGCCGATACGGGTTATTGGCTGATGAATTGGTGCATCCCTAATAATATGTGGTCTTTAAGGCAACCAAAGCATTTTTCAGACTGAACTTAATTTTTGATGTGATCTAGCTTACGGCTTGAATGATAAAATGAGCAAATATCACATAGACTTACATTCAGTGAGGAATGAATGAATGAATTCATAATGTGAGAACAGACAGCAGAGTGTTAGGTATGGGTTTCCTGGGACAAGTCAATTATACAAAATATTTGACCGCAACATGCTGTGATTTACAGAGGTGATCGATACAATACTACAATCTTTCATATAGAGCATCTCACTCACTTCGTCCTGCAGGAAATGAGCCACTTGCACACATCTGTCAGAGTCTCCGCTGATTTACACCGCTGATAGAGCAGCTCCACTGGGCCGCTCGTATCCCAGAGTTCAGACTCTCTCCACGGGATGTTGAAAGTGTATTTGAGAGCCAGCGGAGGAGAACGCTATCAGACTGGGCTTGAAGCTGAACTGATTATCAGATAAAGCCTAAGAGTTTATTTTCTTTCAGCTCAAGCCTTTAGAGTAGAGTATTTTCATTCTACTGAAATTGTGAGACCAAATTGCTGTATTCTTGGTTTTATGGGCCTCCTTAATTAAGAGGGGGGGGTCTTTATATTTGCGGCCTATTGAACATCAGTTGTTCAGAGAATTAAATACAGGCAAAGCACAAGCTGCGTACCTTATAACTCTGTCCAAATACATTATTTTAGCCTCTTTAAAATGTGAAAGTACAGTGAGGCCAGATGGTCCCCACTGTCCCGTCCATCTGGAGGGACCGACGGGTGTTTTGGAGTTTGTTGCCGTTATCCGTCTCCGAATGTGTTTAGGTCACCATAGAGGTTGTTCCCGCTTCCTCATGGATCTCCTGATGCTTTTAAAATGAGTCCGGCTCTGGCAGGACTATTAAGTGGATTAGTTTCACCCACTCAAAAGGGAGTTAGATCCTGCCGGCGAGCTCAGAGCCTGCTGTGTTTATTCAGGAGATGTATGTAAATAGATATATAACTGGAGAGCAAGAGATTTTATTTTTACCCTCCCTCCCTCATGAATTAATCTGGGGGAAATGTGCATCGCTGTCACCCGCCGTTTGCCTGCCTGGAGGAATCGAGCACAAAGGGAATGTCAATAATTTCTCCGCTAGATTAGGGATGTTCTAAAATGGGATTTGATGACCTCAGCGAAAATCTATGATGGGTCTTGAATTCTTAGGCCCAGGTGCAGGTTTTTTTTTTTCTCACCGCCTCATATACACAGTTCATCTTCTAGCTTATATATGATGGTAATTTAGCTCTTTTAGATTAAAGGAATGTTCCAGGTTCAGTACAAGTTAAGCGAAATCGACTTCTGGGATATTTTGTCGATAACATCAGAAAACAATTAGAAAGATTACCAAAAGATTACCAACAATTGCCAACTTTTTTAAAACAAACATAAATAATATAATGATAATACTTCACCATTTATTATATATATATATATATATATATATATCATAGCATATATCATAGCATAGCATATCATAGCATATATCATATGAAATAATGGGCTGTGGTCACTTCAGTCAGAAAATAAAATAATACTTCACTATTTATTATAATAATACAATATTATATAATAATGAGCTGTTGTTGCCCCAGTCACAAATATAAAGGTCACCTCACGTTAATGTCTGTGTTAATGTCAGTTTGTCCAGTAGTGTTATTGGCATTTGTACAATACTATGTTTAAATCTATTCATTCTGAAGATTGTTGCATCATGTACAAAATAATATCCGTCCCAACAATGACTGAAAAAAAGAATCTATTAAAGTGCTACTCCTGTAATCGTGAACAACTGGAAAGTTCATGTGAAAGTCATGAAGATTCCAGTGTGGGAACTCTGTGTCTGTCAAAGAGCTATGTGATAAGTGTGTTTGTGTTCTCTGTCAGAGTGTGTTTGGTGATGGGGAGAACACTAAGGTACGAGTGTCTGAACTGGAGGAGGAGGTGAAGACCCTGAAGAAGATCAATAAAGATCTGTATGAGTTCTCCACTCAACTCCTGACCAAACCCAACTAGAAGAGCTTTCAGAAGTCCTCTGTCGGAACAGTCGGATCAGTACGAGAACAACGGGAGAGAGAAATGCATAAAATGGACTGAAAAGTACCAACTATTCTTTCCTGCCCTAGTTTTGTGTCTTAAGGGCAGGTTTTTTTTAAGATCCATCTCAACACAAGCTCAAGGACCGGAGGTATATTTGTAGTATGTGCTGCCATTTACTTTTTTTTTTTAATTAGTACTGTTATTGTAGTCCTAAACTTTAAGTATTTGCTGTTTATGTTACAACATTTTTTCTGTACACTTTATTAAAAAGAAAAGATTCCAAAAAATAAATAAATAAATCACCAGTGTGACCTTTGAATCATTTTTCAGCCTCTTTATTAGGTTTCAAAAAAGTAGCCTTTCCAACCAGCACGTATAAGGCACAGAAAATAAACCGAAATAGAGTCTGAATTACCTACATACAGTAGAGGACATTTTTTTTCTCATTGTCATTCTCTTTCAGTTTCTTTTTTGTATAAAATATTAATAAAAGACATTTAGGCGATGCATCTGCCACAAAATTCAAGATTTGTTTTTTTACTTATTTATTTATTGTTACAAACCTTTGTGTACTTGACTTTTGGAAATTTGGAAATTATATACTGATAATTTGATAGATAACTGCAGTATTTCTCCGTTTTGGTGTGCTTTGTAAAATGTAAATCACATAATGAATATAATAATGTTCCATAACACAGTTGAACAGAAAGACAAATGAAGAATTTTCTCACAAATAGCAAGTATTTATTTATTTGTTACTAAACTTGAAGTGCTATTTTAGTTCACCGTGTCACGTAAATTTGGAAATTATGTACTTATTGGATAGGTAACTGCAGTATCTCTCAGTTTTGGTGTGCTCTGTAAAATGTAAATCACACAATAAACATATAATAATATTCCCTAACATTTTTAAGGAGAAAACTGAGCATAACAGGGTTGAACACAAATCCAAATTAAGAACTCTTACAAATTGTAGTTATTTATTTATGTATTGTTACTAACCTTTAAGTGCAACTTCACTTCAACTCTGTCACTGTAAATTTGGAAATTAGATACTTATAGTTTGATAGATAACTGCAGTATTGCTCAGTTTTGGTGTGCTTAGAAAAATGTAAATCACACATTAATATATAAAAATATCCAATAATTTCTCTTATTTTTCATGGGGAAAAAGTCAGAGCTTTACAGGGTTTAACAGAGAGATAAATTAAAACAAGCATTTAAAAAAAACATTTTGAATAAAATTAAAAAAATAAAACTAAACTAAACAATGTCAACGTTTACAGTAGTATTCTGTTAAGTTTATCAGTATTAAGTGATGGAGAATTCAAACCCTCGGAGGGTCTTTGTGATCTTTGCTCTGAACTTCAACCTCAAACATGAGGTCCTTCTCAGTGAGTCTGCAGCGTCCTGCTGTACATCCAGCAGCTGTCAGCAAAGTTATTGTCTTGTACTTGAAGCTGGCTAGAAAGATCAGATTAGTCGTGTGTTCATATAGACTCACACCGTGTACTTGTTGCAATGACACTTTCGATCTGGCTTCCTCCACGTGTGCCTCTCTTCTGCTTTGCAGTGCAGCCTAAAACTTTGCACCTTTCCCCTGCACAGCGGCTTATTTTCCATCCCTTGTTACAGGAGAGTAAAGCTGCCCTCGCTGTGACCCTTGCAGACGTCTCCCAGGATTTAACATTCTGGAAACATCAACAGAATCTTAAAGAGGAAATATTCTAGCCTTTAAAAACTTAAAATAAATCAACAAGAAAGGAATGGGAAAAAGTCATCAGCATTCCAGCGGCATGCTGTTGTGAATGCAGAGAATGCTTGATTTCTGTCTAGTTAACTCAATTAGACTTTGTGATGCAGATAAGACCCATCTGAGTATCATCGTCTTAGGATGGAGCGACAGACAGAAAGAACCACTGATAACAATTACAACTACCTCTCAGCACTTCCTCTTTGAAGTTACTTCAGCTGTTCCTGCTAACAAGAGGGAGAAACAGTTCCTTACCCACACACACACACACATACGCTCCAATCATCGTGTGGAAACTCATTCCTTCACCTTGACAGACTCATTCTGTAGCCCTCAGCTGCGGGAAGCATTGAAAGCAGGTGGTTCATGGAGGAACAGCTTCTTAAGAGCTTACGTTGTTGCAGTGGTTGATAAGGAAAGGTGTGCTTTGAGTGTGTGATGCGAAACACTTGCTCCCTCAGCACTGTGTGTTCCTTTAAAGGAAAAGTTCAGGCAAAAATGAAAGTTTGTTGCAAACCTGAATGAGTTTCTTTCTTCTGTTGAACACAAAAGAAGATATTTTGAAGAATGTTGACTTCCATAGGATTTATCCATATGTCAGTGGGGACCCAAAATAAACTCTTAAAACACACTTTTTTTCCTCTCTCACACAAGTTTTGTCTGCAAACAATGTCCAACATGAGGAAATGTTATTTTTCTGAAATTGAATGCACATTTCAACCACATTATTGTAATTTCCATGACATATCAAGTGATGTAATCCTGTGGTAGAAATTATGTATAAATATTATGACATAATATAAAAATTATGTATAAATATAAATATTTTTTGAATACAATTGGATACTCATTTGCCGTGTTAATATTGATTTATTCCAAAAAATATATACAAATATAATTTTCACAAATATATAACACTTAAAAAAAAAATTTAAAAAAAAAATTAGATGTGGCAACATCTCCAAAACCCTTGAATGCATGCACTTGAGCTTGTCTCTTTGGTAACCTATATACAGTATCATATATCCTTCACTGCCTTTGATATCCCACAATCCTTTGTGTGTGTGTACTGTCTTGCTGTACGAATTAAAATGCTGTTTTATGGAGCAGCTGAAAGCAGCATATTTAATCAGTTCAATACATTTTTAGCATTTAATTTCTACCTAGAGATAGACATTCTACTCAAATATTCAGTTGACTAGCTCACTTATATATTTTCCAGATCATCAGATGTGATGTTTTGATGTCTTGAAACATGCTCTGAGACAAGTTGCTTTTAAAAGTGCCTTAACAAGTCTATTAAATGGATGGTTCACCCAAAAAATGTTGACTTTTATTATTACCCGCACGTCATTCTAAACCTAAAGCTTTCTTTATTCTGTGGAATATAAAAAAGAAGATATTATGAAAATGTCCTGTATTTGTCTCCATTGACTCATTGTATGGCCAAAAACAGTTGGAACATTTGTATTGTCGTCTTTGACGTGTCTTCTGTTTCTATAGCTTTAGTGGCTTTATACATGAGCCAGTGATTATTGAACTTATCCCAAATTAAAAGAACAGTATGCAAGGCGACTCAAGTCTTGATTACAATATCGCTCAAACATTGTATAGTGCTCAAATCTGTGTTGATTGCCATCTCGTTTCATGCAGCTGTCATTCGGCATATTTGTCATCAGCGCTGCAGCATACTTCAATTCTCTTTGGTCTCCACTGGTTTCTGCATGCTGACCAAATCAAATGTTTTTTGAATGTCCTATGCAAATATAGCCCTCAAATTGCAACATGTTCTCAAGAAGGATGTGAATAATTTAAACGGCCTCTTAAACTGCTATTGTTGCGGTAAGATGACCCATCTGGGCTGCTGGGAAATTTGTCACAGCTGGATATGAAGGCTGAAGACGATGTGAGGCGAAAACAGCCAGCGTTTGTGTTTACCATCGAGAGCTGTTTCCCGTTCAAGCAGAGTGCTCATTTCAATGCCAGCTTGTGTCCTTATTTACAAACTTCGCTTATTTAATGTCAGGAGATTTAGCGGATTCACTGCCATGTGCTAAGTAGAAGTCTGTCTTGTGCTCTTTCTTTGAAACACTAAATGTCATGTAGTCTCCAAATCCATATATCAATGTTTTCTGGTAAACAAATGAGCAATAAATAAATTTAAAAAAAAGCAAAAAGGTAATGGATCTGATGTCCTTTTGGTTAGCTTACTTTCAAATGTCAGTCGCTAAGGGCTGGGTCATTATGCAGTAAATACATTCAGGCTAGCCCTGGATATGGGCATTTTTTCACTTTATAAAACATTTTAATAAATTTTGATATCAGATCAGGGTTATTATAGTTAACGAAAATTAAAACTTTATTTCAGCTAGTTGACAAGGCAACATTTCTCATTTAGTTTAACTTGATATGTTAACATAACTATAAATAAATGTAAAATATAAAACATATTTAAAAATGACAAAAACACACGACAAAATGACAAAAACTGTTCACTAAAATTACACTGAAAACAGAAAATATGAAATTCAGTATAATTAGAATTGTGGGATTAATAGATAAGTGATTTCATTGCACTGTCCACTTTACCAGCAAACTCTTCAGCAAGTCCATTCCCCATTGATTTTCTCAAAGTTTCATAAAGAATTTTAAGCCTTGAACCACACCAACCAGCTCCAAAATGAATCATAGCATTGCAACATTTGATTCAAAGCAAAAAAAAAAAAAAAAGCAAAAAGATTTAACATCCTGTAAAAGAGTGAATGAGCTACTCTTGCCATAAAGCATTGCAAATAAAATTAGCAATGATTTAGTCGAGTCACTTTTATTTATATAGCGCTTTATACAATACAGATTGTCAAAGCAGCTGCACAGTGTTAAACAGGAAAAACGTGTGCTGATAATGCAAAAGGACAATAGAAAACAGTCCGTTTATCAGTTGAAGTCAGTTCATTGTTGATTCAGAGATGTCCTCGTCCACCTCAGTTCAGTTCTCTTCCAATAGTGTTTGTGCAGTCAAGCCAACAGTATTGCCAGAAATTGTGTCCCCAACTAAGCAAGACAAAGGCGACAGTGGCAAGGAACCAAAACTCCATCAGTGACAGAAATGGAGAAAAAACCTTGGGAGAAACCAGGCTCAGCCGGGGGGCCAGTTCTCCTCTGGCCGGACGAAACCAGAATGGTGTGGTTTAATTCCAGGCTGCAACGCACATCAGATTGAGCAGAGGACTCTGAACAGAGGATGGCGATGGCCATCAAGGTCTTCACAGGGGATCTGTCTCTATGGTTCGTCTAGACTGACATTCAGGACTGTAGAGGTAATCTCTAGGTGCTGATCCACCAGCTGGTTTGGATACAGACTGGATCCTGGTGACTGCAGTGACCATCTGATCTGGATACGGTCTGGATCTGGGTGGCTACGGTGACCTTGGAATAAGAATAAGACAGACTAATATTAGCATAGATGCCATTCTTCTTGCGATGTAAAAAGTACATTGGGTGTTATGGGAAGTGTTCCTGGTTCCAGTTGATCTAATTAATGCAGCCTAACAATCCTTTAACGAATTTAAATTAT